GGCTCCGAAAGTGAGCAGCAATGGTCAAGTTGGAGTTCACTTTCATTTCGAGTGAAAGTGTTGCGTGAAGAGATTCGAAGTTCGGCTGCACCAGAAGACGAAAAAGAGTCATGGTTATAGTATGTTTGTAGAAACATGGGAGATTGAAGTCATCAAACCTTGATTGCCAAAAAGAGACGTTTCTCTTTGCTGTCCTAATTACTTTGAGCCATCACTGCGGGTTCGGTGCATAAGTGAACACAAACAGACACATACACATACAGAGACAGACACACTCACAGGCATCGAAGTTGACATATGATCGTAACTAACCAAATCACTTTATACTTGATCAAAAAGGCCAAATGTAGAGTGTATATACCACTTTTTTGGGATTTTCCGGTGAGTTTTCTTGACTCGTTATCTTCAATTTGGTTGTGACGATGATACCCTCCTTGCTCTGATGATGTGCATCATGTGACGGACGACAGCTTAGCACCTTTTCACCAAAATCGATGGCGATTGCCTCGGCAACAGCGTCAGCATGAATGTTCCAGTAGAGCCAATCGACAGTTGGTCTTCTGGTGGAAGCGACCTTCGAATCTCTTCACGCAACACCTTCATTCAAAATGGAAGTGAGCTCAACAATGATTAATTTCAATTGACTGTCTGATCTTCCGCTTGGTTGTGAAGTCGCCATGTCCGGCAAAAGGTTGGCATTCAGACGACTCGATCTGGTGTCCTGTAGCCGCGACATGTTCAGCATAAACCCTTGCAGGAGGTTGTCTGTTCTGACAGCCTCTTCTGCGTGGCTCAACAAGTCCCCGCCACAGCAACACTGCCGCATGAGCACAAAACCTGATCTGCAGATGGCGGCCGAATATTCTTTACAATAAACAATGCTCGAATAAAACGCTATTGCTTCTTGTTACCTCGTCTCGACACTCCCTTTCCTCAATCATTCGCCCATCCTTCTGGAAGCTTGCAGGATGGTAACATGGACAAGGAGTTGTCTGGCGCCTTGTTTGGTCCACAATAATGCCTCTCGACATTTTCAACTTGTTAACATTCAATCGTAGCCAATAATTGTTGTCGACTAAGCTCTGTCTCAGTCTTTCTAACTCACATTCCTGACGATTTACGTCGGCTAGACGTAAACTCCACATTATCACGTAATTGCATTACGTCTACCTTAACATCATAAATGTGATCCGAGATGAAACCCAGTTTGTTCTTTTTTTTCATAACAATGCTAAATCGCTGTCCTTTTCTGACTCAATAGTCAAATTAGTCGCTTTAGCTACTCCATTCTGTAATTGTTGGGCTTACTTCCATTTCGAGTGGAAGTGTTGGGTGAAGAGATTCGAAGGTCGCTTCCACCAGAAGACGACGGCCGATTCCTCTTGACCAGCTGTCGATTGGCTTTACTGGAACATTCTTGCTGACGCTGTTTCCGAGGCAATCTCCTTCGATTCCCATGAAAAGGTGCTAAGCTTTCGTGCGTATATGACGGAG